TTAAAAATTCATCTCTTTAATAATTGATAAAAGTATTCGAAATATCCAAACCATCCTTGGTGTAAAGCGTTTAACTAACTTTAATGTTTTCGTTTAATCGATGGAAATAGTGTGGAACTTGAAAATTCACTGAAATCCGGACAACATTCCACATTAACACCAAAAGAATCGCAGATTAGCTCTATGAAAAATCAAACAAGGCCCAAAAGTTTGTCCAGCAAAACGTTCAACAGATTTAGAACAACGGTTTGCAATAAAATTTAACCTTGAAGCTTTTAGAATAGTCATTTAGGATATGGGTACAATGGGTGATCCGTGTCCAAAAAGGGAATACTTCGTCAACAAGGAAAATACGTCTGGTGATCACAAAATGTACAGCAAGCAAAGTTTTATCCTATTGGAACAAAATTATAGCTGCAGAGAAATCAAAATTTATATATTTGGGTCCGATAGACGAATTAATATGTGACAAAATACGAATTACGAAATGAATTCGAAAAACGTATTGTCTAATGTTACGCACACGAAAAGAGGCTAATTGTCTGGGGATGCTTTGCTGGCTTTAGAATGCTAAATTTAGTGTTTATCAAAAATAACATTGATTGGCATATATGATATCGATTAGTATATATACATATTAATATGGATATTATTATTAATGAAAGCCTGAAAGCATCTCCAAGGAAACTTGGAATATAAAATACATTTAAGTTCTATCTGAATAACGATCCTGAACATAAAGCTCTAAAGGTTTGTTTAAAATAAATGATTAGTGTTATATGTGAAAGAGAAATAAAGTCATTTTGTTAATGTTTAGTAACTAGTATTTGCAAATAAATCTGAAAAACGCAAGTGTCTGAAAATAAATGTTAGCCACTGTATATGGTAGTACCAATTTTTAAAGCTAGTACAGCTCTTAACAAGCATCTAGTTTCGGGTAATTTTTTTTTTTTTTTTTTTTTTTGGCAATTAAATTATTTTTGCTCTTTTTCAGCTTTCTGCCTAAATTTTGCCAGCGAAGATGAGATACAGAGAAAAGCAAGCAAATAACTTTAAAGAACATAAAATAAATAAATATGAAATCAATATAAAATAAACAAAATATTCAACACAAATAATAAACTTAAAATAAATAATAAATATTGAGCATAAGTAATAAAATATTAATAAAATATTGAGCATATGCACTACAAATTTATGTAGTAAATGATAAAATCTAAAATTCCCATGTAATCAGGTTTGAAGAAATATTTTTACGGATTTGGTATTTAAATGGCTAATGTTAGTTTAATTATAAATCAAATTGTTTTATTCCCCGTGCGGTACAAAGCGTGACGAATAAAGAAAGCTAAGCCGAAAAATTAAAAATACAAGAGCGCGTGCATTTAACATTTAAATAAATAAATATCTCTAATTGATTTCGAGAAAATACCAGAAAATTCTCTCGCATTTAAAAAGCTTATATAAGCGGCATGAAAACCTCTCAATCCGTTATTTAGTTAGTTGTTGTTTTAAGAGTTTGTTTAGAAAATTGCATTTGTTGACTGTAGCGAATTCGCGGATTATCTTTCTTTAGCTGTTCTGAATTAAGTTTTGTTGAACGTTTGAGTAGTTAAAAGATAACTACTGTGAGATATTGTAATACTGAACGAATATCAGAGGAAAATTTAAGCATTTTGTTTTATTTGTTGTGATAATAATAAATTTTTGTTCATTTTTCATCGGACTTGTGCATTTAATTCATAACGAACCCGCACGCACGCAGTAGTATTATTTTAAATTTAAAATAGAGCATAATTAAAAGGCAAATAACATACATGTCAGGTTTTAAGCTTTATCCATGTTTATTCAATTCTATCAAGCATTTTCCTCACAAACGTTGCCAGTTCCAAAAAACAAAAACATGCATCATGAAGATTTACGCCCTCTACAGGCAATTAAAATAGATTTTCAGACAAAATTTCTTACAAATTACCCATTCAACTTAAAGAAAAGTTAGCATAAGATGTACATTTAAGCTCGCACTTGGACTAAAAATCCTGAGTATTTTCCTAATAGGATTTTTTGCGTTGTCATATGGATTGGATTATTTAATTATGGCAAAGCACACGAGGGCTATCTGCCTAAAGGTAGGGATGCCTTCGTGGAGGACTTTCTAAGGGAAACTGACTCATATACACGTTACACATGGGGAAAAACCACGAAAACGCCCATGCAGACAGCTCGTTCGCGGGATTCGAACCTCGGACCGAACTACTAGTGTTCAGCGTGTTTAACGCTCGGCCGCTGGTGGGCCACCGCGTTGTCATATGTTTGCGCTCTACAAAGTTTAATATCTTAAAAAAGCTGACAATATCTGCTGTTACAAATATGGTGCTGTATGTTCTTCAATCGATATAGATCCCAGAAACCTTTCTTTTACATCCCCACTTGGCAATACGTACTTTATAACTAATGCTAGTTAATCAGTGCGTACGAAATATCAAGCGTAAAATCGAATATTTATCTGTAGTGAGTTGTTGACTGTTAACAGTGTCTTCCGTTATATTATGTTACAACAGAATAGAATCTTCTGTTATATCTGTTACAACAGTATAGTGTCTTCTGTTATATATGTTATTAGGTATTTGTTAATGATGCTGATGAATTTTTCACAGATATGATGGGACAAATAACTTACATTTCATCCTCGTTGATTACCATATTTTTCTAAATACAATTTCAAAAAAACATACAGTTAGACACAAAAGTCTGCGTACAGACTAAATTTTAAATTAAAAAAACACTTAAAGCATAGAAAAATGTATTTTAATCATTGCATTTTTTTCCTTCAATTAGCTAAAATTGTAAGCTTAAATGAAAAGTAAATAATATCAGTGTAATACTTTTCACATTTTTTTCAAAAATATATTTTGTCAAAAGAAACTCACAAATTCCTCGCCAATAAATCTGCGTACACTTTTTAAAAAAGCAAAATATAAGTTTTTTACATTACTTCAATACATTATAGGATATCTTTTATTCTTCAAATATTGCAGACGTCTGGGCATTGACTGGAACTAGTTTTTCAGTGTCATGCCGACGTAAATTTCGCCCATTCTTCCTGCAATTGACTAATTAGCTCATTTCGCGACGTAATATTGTGTTTTCGAATTCGTTTCTCCGATTTTGCCCACAAATATTCGATTGGATTGAGGTCTGGTGACTGTGGAGGAGTACGCAACTGTCTTGGAGTGTGATAGAGGAGATATTCCTTTACAATTTTAGCTGTATGTTTCGGATCGTTGTCTTGTTGTAAAATAAAGGTATTAGAAAGGTTTAAATTTCAGGCACTGTCTCGTAGATTTTTACTTCCTTGTACGAAGTAAAAAGGAAGTATTGTAATCGCGAAAAGTTTCAGGCAGCATATTTCAACGAAAATATCCATTTTGACCGCTATCGAATGCAATTTAACGATGTTTTTGCGTGATATCTGATACGTAAGGCCAGAATAAAATACTCTTTTCCTTCAAAAAAAAAAATTATAAAACTGCTTTAAAATTAATTCTGAAAAGAATTTTTCGTGGCGTCTGTACGAACGTATGTACGTACGTATGTGCGTGCGTACGTACGTATCTCGCATAACTCAAAAACGAGTAGCCTCAGAACGTTGAAATTTTGTATATAGGATTGCTGAACGCTGCACAAGTGGACTGCCGCCCTTAACTATAGTAAGCCTTACGGTATTTGTTTCCACTTGGCAGATGCTGTCTAATCATGACTCGCTGATCCGACAGCATTTATTATTTCAAAATCTTAGGTTTCATAATCACTCATTATTTTACATAGGTTTTTAGTATCTATAACTGCCTGGTTGTTAACTCAAGTTCTATTTTAACTACTACGCTGCTAACTATACTACACTACTTTAACATGGGCAATGTTGCTATAATTCCTTTACACTACAATACTACTTCAATGTTTTACACTAGACCACACTACATTTTACACTGAGTACTATACATTGTAACAATATCATATATAAATGCAAGACATAGAAGAATATATTAATGCAAGACATAGAATATCCTATATAAATGCAAGACATAGTAAACCTGGTTATAAATATAATACGATAATATTAGATCATTTTTCTATCGCACAATTTCGAGTACAATACAATGCCTACGAAACTTTACACTCTAGTACTATAAGCTACAAAAGTACAAAACTCGGCTAGAATTGCATTTTACATTGGGTACAATACATTGTGATTCTATTATATATGTACAAAATTTACAAAATATATAAGCATTAAAGTCGCATAACCTCATACTACTACTTATACAGATATACTGAACAATTACTGTAAATACAGTAGCTCTATATCTTGATTACAATTCACACTGTACTAGTTAGCCATATTATTACAAAATTAAGAAATAATATACAATGTTAATCAAACCATACACTGTTATTCATTATTGATGCAGGTACCCAAAGATAATACTATAAATGAAAAATGCTAAGGTTAGGTTACAATACACTTTTCAAAACCATTCCTAGTTAGAAAATACAGTGGAACTACCAACAACATGATTTAAACATTGATATTTCAAGCATAAAAAAAAAAAAAAAAAAAAAAAAAAAAACTTTTTTTTCCCCTTTTTTTTTGGGGGGGGGGTAACAATAGGTTATGCCTCCTAATTCTGCCAATGATGGAATAGAAACAATTCAACAATGATACAGTTATATAACTAGTAATTTTTACAATACGTTTTAATGATTCTTTCAGTTATGAGACTTATTAATTGTAGGGTAATCTAAAAGTCACAAAGATGTGTACAATGAAAAATTAAGAATCTATGCACCAATGTGGTTAAATCACACAAACATTGAACAGTTCAAGGTTCTGCAATGGTAATAAAGCTAATGTTATGTCATTCACAAGGAAGTCTTTACCCTAAGATGATCCTTTAATTGTGAGCGTACAAGGTACAGATGTGTGCAGTAATTGTCAATTATTCTGAAGTGTTCGCTCTGTTTATGCCTGCATGACTCTGTGCACAGTACTTTAATACCTCATTCAATTTGCGTTTAGCAATACTATTCTTGCAGATTGTTTCTGCCCATTGTGGCCAAAATAAATCACTTGGTCTCCTCAGGTGATAAGGTTTGGTGGATGCACAATGGAAGAGATAGTGATCTGGATCACCTACCTCTCCACATTCACAGAATTCTGTTCCGCTTAAGTGGAACCTCTTTAAATAGGTAGGGAATGGTCCATGTCCAGAAAAAAAGTGGGTCTGTGCACCGTTCGTGACTTTTGCTACAGTTCCCACTTTTGGAAAAAAAGAGTAGGTCCTTCTACCCGTGGGTGCTGAGTCCCACCTTTCCTGCCACTGGCATAATAAATTTTCAAGAGTACTTCTCTTGAGATAAGAGGTTGGGAGTTTCACAGGATATTCTCTCAGGCTTTTTATCATTTGCTGCCGATTTGGCAAGCTCATCTGCCTTTTCATTGCCTGTGATGCCCACATGAGCTGGGACCCAGACCAAGTGTGGACGTAAGGAGGGAGGGCAATGCAAAAGAATTTTTTTGAGCTCTTGTACATAAGAGCTCCTGCTTTTATTTCCTCTAATCGCTGCCAGGCTAGAGGCCGAGTCACTGAAGATTGTTGCTCTGAATCTAAGTGAATAAACTGCAAATTTAATTGCTGCTTTTAGCGCTGCAACCTCTGTCTGAAAGACTGTATTTCTAATATCTAGTCTTCTTTTCCATGTTTTAATAATAGTCTCCCCTTGTAAAGCGCAAAATGCACTAACCGGCGCCTCGCTCTGTTTTGGATCCATCCGTGTAGAGGCTGAAGCTGTTCTTTTTTGAAGATGCGTACACAAGTTGGATGCTATCGGACAAGTCTATGTCTGCGGGGTGCCCTAAAAGAACTGGTTTGTGCTTTTCATAGTCTGTGTGATAATAGTTCTGATTCCATAATGTTGCATTCTCATCCAGTCTCAGCACTCTTGCCAATAGGGATTCCCGTTCTGCTTGTAAGTCTAATGGTGGTATACCAGCAAGCACTTGAAGTGCTGCTGTAGAAGTGGTTCTGTATCCTCTGCATATCAGTAATAATTGCATTCTTTGTATTGTGAGCAATAGTTTACTCATATGTGAGGAGATATTTTCCCCCCAAATTGCTGCACCATACAAATATAATCCTCTCGGATATAGTACGATACCAACTTCTCAGAATATTGGCTGGCGTTCCCCACTGTATTCTTGCTGTTTTGAGCATGTTATTTGTAAGGCTGTTTATTTTCTGTTTCACCTCCTTCAGGTGTGGGAACCCAAGATAATTTATTATTAAAAGTCAGTCCCAAGTACTTCAGATTGGGCACGCATTTGATCGGTATACCGTTCATTTTAATGGACGGGTTTCTTTTAGGAATACCTTTCCTACCTATGTAGAGCAATTGGGTCTTCGTTGCAGAGATGATCAGTGTGTGACTCTTGGCCCAGGCTGCAAAGTCATCGACTGCCTTTTGCGCCTTTTGTACCACGTCTTTCCTGCTAGTAATGACTAGAAGAAAATCATCTGCGAAGGCTTGTATATTCACATTTGGATTATTATCAAACAGAGTAAAGGCTGTATTAGCCACCAAATTCCATAACGTGGGTCCCAAGCAGGAACCTTGGGGGCATTCTCTTTGCAGTTGGTAATTGATAACCCCTTTATTCGTAGTAACCTGTACTCCTCTATCTTGCAGATAACTTCGCAAGAGCTTGATAATTTCAAAAGGGATTTGTGCATTATCCAGGCATTTAATTACGTCTGGCCACCATAACGAATCGAATATATATCCATTTTCCATCGAATATATATCCATATCCTTTGATATCCATTTCCACTACTATTGTGTATCTGCCATTGTTCCTGCTGGCTTCGATATTCTCCAGAAGGTTCTTAAGTGCCCCCTCCGTAGACTTCCCCTCACAGAAACCAAACTGACTTTTGTTGATGTAATTTTTAATCTTAAGAAAGTAGTTGAGCCGCGCTATGATGACCTTCTCTAGTACCTTGCTAATGGAAGGGAGAAGACTAACTGGTCTATATGCTCCCGGATCCGATGGATCTTTACCTTGCTTGTGGAACAATGCTACTTCTCCCCACTTCATGGTCCTAGGAAAGTGTCCTATTTTCCAACAAGCCCTACATAACGAAAGAAAAATTGAGGGAACTCATGATGAATATATTTGATCATAATATTATCGATGCCATCCGGTCCCGGAGCTTTCTTGTTTACGAGGCCTTTGACTATTCTAGTAATTTCCTGAATGGAAGGGAGCTGATGGTCATGCTTTTTGCTGGTCCAAAAAAAGTTTCGAAAGTTATATAGGACTGCTATAACATATAGATGTGCACCTCGTATTTTGGTTGCAATCGGCCGCACCAAACGTATATAAATATATTTATATATATATCCACTCTGTTACCTAGCTCAGGTGAGCTTAGTTTTTTTACTTCTTACATGCTGGTAAAATTGCGCAATTTTTGCTTTAAATGTGATATGAATTATGTTGTTCTTATATCCCGGTTAAAGATTTTTATACCGTTAGTTAATCTGCATACAATATGCTGTAGAATTATCAACAATTTTACACTTTTTAAGTGGCGAGTTAAGCCTTTTTTAATGAACCGCCATTGATGTTTACATTTGAAACAGGAGACTAGTGGATTTGTTGCCAATCTAGAGAAACTTAGCTTCGCAATAATAAAGATAACGCGTTCATTTATTTTTGCCAATTAAATCATGCTTAATTTTTTCTGGAATTGTTTCGAAGAAATAAGTGTTTAAGATTTACTTCGTAATTTTTAATATAGATATTTTGAGTTTTTATGTATTTTTGCCTTCTCGCGAAGTGAGAACTGAATCAATTAAATGAGAAATACTCAATCGTCTGTGAAAAATTGTTTCTTTTTTGTTTTGTTTGCTTAATTTCTTTTATACATCATTCTAGCTTTATTATAGTATTTGAATAGAACATGTGTCAACGATTAGATAATTCTATTCTTTAAATGATATAAATTTTGTGCATTATGTTTTATAATATGAACGAAATATAATACTGAAGGGGAGTCATCACTTTTGAGCAACACAAAAAGTGAGAATTTTAGCTGATTTTCGAGTTTTAATAAGTCAAATTGTTTTTGTCATGCATATATGAAATTTTCAGTCAGTCATCTTTATAGATAGATGATTATCTTTCTTGATTTATTTTACTTAATAGTGTATAAGAATTTGTTTTATAAAGAAAAAACTAACTGTATTTTCTGAAAATTTAAAATTTGTACTGAAGCACTGCACGCAAACTGACAGTAATACAAATTTAGTTACAGTAATAATTTTTAAATGAATCTAGCGCCAGAGTGTCGCTATGGTAAACAAATAGTAGAGTGAATTTTAAAGAATGCATTTATTCTATTGGGATTTATGCGCTGTCGGCGAAGTAGATTTAATTCAATCCAATAAGTTTAAATGAAATGCAAGAAAAATGCGTATAATTTAATATTCCGTACAAGAAAGTCATGTGGTGTACACATCAGATTTTTCTTCAGAATATCCAGATAAACATACTTATCCATGACGTTATCAATAATGTGAAAATTTCCAACTCCTTTCGACGACATACACCCCCATACCATCACACCGCCAGCTCCATGTTTGACAGTTGGATTTAAGTTCTCAGATTCAGTTCTGTTCTGGTTTTCTCCATACAATAGGGTGCCATTAACTTTAAATATTGTAAATTTACTTTTATCTGACCAATTAACATTGTTCAAGATGTCCCTGCGAAGAGTTTTTAAATATTGTTTTGGCAAAAGCAATTCTTTTCTTTCTATTTGTCTCGGAAATGTATGGCTTAGATCTAGTTTTGTGTCCATGATAATCGGCCTTTCGCAGCACTTTCGTACAGTTTCAGGAGAAATTCCTGGTTGCTAGTTAAAAAAATGTCTTTTGCAATGCTTGCAGCAGAAAAGTTTAGGATTTGTTTAATTCGTAAAAGAATTTTTCTTTCTTCTCTCTGCGTTAGCTTCTTCGGTCTCCCACATCTTGGTTTTACAGCAAGACTACCAGTGTCAAGATAGTTTTGAATAACTCTTTGCGCACTAGAAAATGATTTTCCAATGGTTTTACCAATAAAACGAAGAGTTTTACCTTTATTTCTCAATTTGATAATTAGTTGTCTCGTAACTAAAGGAATTTCTTTATTGGTTGTCATTTTCGTCAAAGAAAATAGAAATAACAACTTCCAATCAACATGAAATTTGCTTCGAAAGTCAATGTCATTGAAAGTGTAACCTTCTTTGCATTCTCAAGTTTGAAGTTTAAAAGTTAAATAAGAAATCCTCCGCCTCCTTGATGTTGTACGCAAACTTTATTGGCTTTGATTTCTGGCCACTTATCTTTTAAAAATTAGTGTGCATAAATTATTAGATATGAAAATATTACAGTTTAAATAATTTCAAAGTCCCTTTTTGAAACTAAATATTTAAAAAATAAAACTTTAAGAAACTATCCTTTTCGCACCTTAAAATTTGGATTTGATATTACTTTTTTTGATGTACGCAGACTTTATTGACTAACTGTATATCCACTGATCTGTTCCAAGCATGTGAATTAGTTTTTCTTTCTTGCTTGAGTTCCGTTTTTATCATGACCTCTAAATGCTAAACCTAATCTATCTAATGACATTATAGTTGATGTAACTCTTCTCAAATGTTATTTCTAAGAATTTTCCTCGTGTTCTACCTGTTGCAATAAATCAGGATCGATTCTATTTAAATCTGAAGATCTTACATAAAAGCTACATATTTAAAACATTTTATGTGAAATTTAGGAAGCGCCGAATACATTCGCCCAAAGAAACTTTGAATTTAATGTTGATTATTCGTGCTATAAGTTCAGGGAAATTAAATATATTTGTTCAAAATCAGTTGTTGACACAGTAATTGAAAGAACAACTTCAGATTTCGCTGCTATATTTCAAAAAAGTAGAATAGAATTCTATTGGTTGAAATGTTAGTATTAATCTATTGCTTTTACTTTAATAATAAGAAGAAGCTAAAAGTACGTAATAGTAGTGTTATTTCGTTATGGCAGGACAAAGGATTTTGGAAGAAGGTGCTGCGATTAAATTCATCCTATATTTAGAACCATACATCATATTAAACAAAATCGAGCTTTATGAAGGTTGCGCAACTAAAGCCAACAAATGAACTTAAACGCAGGGTTCAACTCTTATATATATTAAGACACAATAACACGCCGAATAAATACTAATTCAGAAGTCAAACAACAAAAATCAGCGTTAATTTGCAAAATTTTCACAGGACTAGTTTCGATGGTTTTACCGAACCATCATCTTCAGCTGCAAAAAACCGCAAATGAACAAGATAGGAAATAATGTTTAGATAAGATAAGAAGCCTGGACAAGAATAAGCAAGTGGCGCATCTGTTGGCGAAACCAGAACTAAAACATAATTTCTCTAAAAGCCGAAGGCAAATTGGATTGGAATTAGGATCGTTAACTAGAACAGAAAGATTTTTAGATGTGAAATGCCTCTAGAAAATCCAGTTCTCTAATGGAAGATGTTTTTTGAATAATTTTGGCAGCAGAAAAAATTTAAAGTGTGATTTTCGGACCAACAATGTTGAGCAACAGAAGACTTCTGTGTTTCCTTTTTTTAACATATGCTTCATGTTCTTTGACACGAAATTTTAGGCTCTCTTAGTTGGGCCAATGTAAATTAAACCGCAGTGGCAAGGAATCTATAAATACCCCAGATTCATACCGGATGGGGTCCTTGAGTATAGAAGTTGGATTTTATTGATGGGAGAGTAAACAACCCGAAAGTTAAATTTCTGCAAAATATGTGCAACTTTATAGCTAATTGATGGAAAGAAGGGAATGACAACAGAATTTTTATAATCTCCTAAAATAAGAGTGTGGCTTTTGGTGTGTTCAGATGAGAATTTTTTAACTGCTTGATTAATAATGTTGGGTGAAAAGCCCCTGTCAATAGCTATTGCTTTTAAATAATTTAGTTCTTCATCAAGGGCCAGTTTGGAGGAGCA